AATTTCACCAAGCCAGCTCATCAAAAGATAATATTTAACCAAATGAATAGTCTAGTCACAGACCAGGGAAACATACATAAAACCCATGGATCTGACAAGGATGAGTATCTGCAATACATGAAGCCATCTGACTACTATGGAGTTTATGTTAAAAAAGAAACCAACTAAACTTCTTTAAACACAAAGAGGATATATGAACAAAGGTTTCACAAGAGAAGATATGTAAGTAACAATACGCCCATTAAAAGTATTAGCCATGACCCGGGTCCCTGTGCCTGCCTGTAAGGTGGGTACCCGGTTTATGAGCCCCTGGGGCAGGGGATCCAGTGGGAAATTTGGTGAGGCCCGGGTAATGATGGCCCGGGTCCCTATGCCCACCTGTGAGTTCATGAGCCCGGGGATCCAGTGGGGCTCAGGTCACCATGTCCCAAGTCCTTTTTCCTACCTATGAGGGAGCTGCTAGGTTCGTGAGCCCCATGGGTGAAGGATCTGTTGGAGCTCAGGTCACAACGGCCCAGGTCCCTGTGCCCACTTGTGAGGTGGTTGCCAGGTTTGTGATCCCAGGGGTGCTAGATCTGGGTTGCCTGGTTCAGGTCCATGGGCTCACCTGCAAGAACATGCCCTTAGTAGTAAGAGGCAGAGAGCAGTAGACACAGACCCTGATGCAAATGGAGAATATGGCAACTCATTTGGTACCTTAGCAGAAGGAGAATAGAAGAAATTGGACAACTACCCCAGCCAAACGATGAGAGCAACAATCTGGGTGAATGGAGACCTGAGGTTGACCATGTCAGCCAATGGACACTTGGAGGGCTGCATCATCCCCAGATCGGTGAAATCGACAGCATTGCAGAACTATCCAAACCACTTGGGCAGAACCCTTGGAACATGCACATACTGACACCCTGGGGGGGTATGGGGTGGCGGTTCCTCATCCTTGGGTACTGGGACATTCGGAAAGCTAGGTATGGCTTCCCCCTTTATTTCCCCCCTTCCCCTAGAAACAAGAGGAAGAAATAGCAAATTGGGAAACAATGATTTCATTCACTTTTCCCTAAACCTCAGTCCTTCCCAACCTGATCAACCAAGCATCATTATAAAAATAAAACAATTATTTAAAAAAAAGGACTAGCCATAATTAGTCCATGTGGCAACGTGAATTCAATCCAACATGAAACACCCTTTCAAACTGACTGAAATGGCTAAAATTATAAAGGAGTGGCAATACACATGTTGGTGAGAATGTGGAATTCTTACATGTGTCTTAAGGGAATACAAAGCAGTTGCAGCTACTTTGGATTTCAGCAGTTTCTTATTGGGCGAAAAGTATGCATAATTTATAACCTAGCAAGTCTACTAGATATTTACTTAGACAAGTAAAACATATCTGCCAAAAGAATAAAAAACATAGCAAAACATAACAGAACAAAACACTTGTACGAGAGGGGAATGGACAAATTGTGAGATTTCTGTGAGCAGAATTGCATTCAGTAAACTTTAAAAAAACCTGCATATTATGCATATGTGTTTAGGAGACCTGAAAACAATGTACTAAACACACACAAAAATACATACTTTGTAAATCTACCTACAAGAAGCTTTAGAATAGGCAAAACTCAGCTATAGTGGGAAAAAAAAATCATGAAAGTGGCCTCCTCTAAATAGGAAACAGCAATTGACAAGAAAAGGGAACCAGAGACTTCTCCCGGGGAAAGGAGTGTCTGAATAGGGGTGTGGCTTACACAGGTGTCTGACTTGTGAAAGGTTACCAGACAGTGACACTGCATTTCACTGTATTCGCATTCCATCACATGTGAGAGACATGGAAATTCTCGAAATTAGAAGAACAATAGCTTTTTATAAACATTCAATCAAAATCCATTCAGAAATAAAAATGGTTGTGATATGCACAGTGTATGCTATTAGACGCTGGTTTTCTGTAGTTGTTTTGCATTTTGTCCGTCTATTCATTGATGCAGCTGTTACGAAGCACGTGATACGTGTCTGTGCACCGCCACTCTCGGGGCACTGAACATGTCAAGTTGCTGATCATCAATTGGGAAAGCAGGGAGAAGGATGAAGGAAAGGCACGCTGTCTACAACACAGTGGAGGTTTCAAAACAGGGAGAGGTGCTGTGAAGGACGGGACTGTGGAACTGCCATGCGTGTTCAGGGGCCTGAATCTACGTCCTCGAAGATACGATCATGGCCATTTTCACTGATCAACACTTTTGTCTTTTTGATAGATCCAGCATACATTAGAAACATTTGAAAATAGGCACAGATGTGTGTATTTTTAAAATTACTGGGAAAATACTGCATCCCCTCGTTACTTTTCAGCTCTGAGCTTTTGCCCTACTTACAGCTTGAATGGGTCTGTAGCTACATCAGGTGTCACCCGGCATGGGTGAAAAGGTGGGTTCCAAGGACACTGGGTTCAATGCTAATCTCATTCCACCTGCCTCTGAGTCACAGTCACACTGAGTTAGCAAGTCAAGGAGCGGCCCTTTTGTCTTCTGTATAAAAGACTCGCTGCTTAGATATTACAGAATGCAGACGCCCAAGTCATTAAGATGTAGTTGTACATAAAAGATGTAACACTGATAATTCAAAACAGACAAGGACAATGTGCTGTAGGAATAATTCTCCTGAAAGTCATAATATCTGGCACACAACATAAATAAGCCCTCTTTTTCTCCTTCAGCGCCCTGCTGTGGAGGAATCACTGAGCTAACTCGCTATCTGCTGGACACAGCAAGATTGTGGGCAGGCCTTCCGCTAGGCAGGGACACACACACACACACACACACACACACACAGAGTTTAACATGTCATACACTGAGAACAGAAGAAATGCCCCCAACAAAAGCCATCATTTTCTTCAAGAAGGTTGTTGATTTTCTCTTTCATTGCTTCAGCGACACATTCGTCATTCAGTAGCATGTTATTTAACTTCATGGTGTTGTTAATTTCTTTTTTCTTCCTGTTGTTGATTTTGTTTTGTGGCTTTTCATTTAAGGGGATGTATAGTAGCTGTGTAATGGAGACTGTCATATCTAGTAACATGTTATTTCACTTCATGGCATTGTAAGTTTCTATTTTTCTTCCTATTGTTGATTTTGTATTGTGATTTTTATTTAAAGGGATGTATAGTAACTGTGTAATGGAGACTAACATATCCAGAGGTGAGGATACAATGCAGTATGCATCTCTACTTCCAGGCAAAGATGGACTCCCAATGAAACTGTTTACTCTATCTCGACAATAGGATGCTGGACTCTCTGCCATCGTCCATGCCCGCAATGATGGACATATGACTGTGTATGAAGAACTATACTTTAGTAATGATATAGAGGAACTAGGTGGGGGGAGGCGGGAATTAGGGAGGGGATAAGGGAAATTCCAGGAGTCTATGGAATTGATAATAATAATAATAAATTAAAAAAAGAAGAAAGCCAGTTGTGCCAATGACTCGACACCTATTGTGAGGAGAGAATCTGAAGCATTGAACTGTTAAGTTCCGTGTGATTTTCCATCACCAGAAGACCTACACCAAAGCCTGTGAAACTTCATACGCTGGAAAAATGTGTCTCCAATGGTGCTCTGTCGGTGCATCCGAGGACCCCAATCTTAAATCTACATGGTGGGAGCCTGTACCTTTGCCCTTTGTCAGTTTTATGCAGCCTATGCTTCCAGCTTCTTTACCATGTGGTTGATGGAGCTTCGAAAACTTCAGGCGAAGACGGCACTAATCAGTTCATTTGGGCACCTCCAATTTTGAAATCAATACATAGGATTTTTCATAATCTATGAACTGTGTGGAGATTTCCTGCATTTTTTTCTGCTCTTGCTCAGATTTCATGTTCCACTTCAAGTGTTTCTTTCCTGATCAGGTTTTCCTCAACCAGTATATTCAGAAAAAAAAAAAAACCCTCTTTCCTCTCAGCTCTCAGAATATGGTGAGCTGCCATTGTATGGCTCAGTCCAGAATCCTAGCTAGTAACCTCCTGTTTTAATTACCTCTCTTACAGGTTCACAGGTACAGCAGATAATAACAATGGATGGCTCCATTCACAGAACCCATTTTAAATGCAGGTAACACTCCCCCAATTCATTGTCCAACTGTGTTATTTATGGCATGCACCTGTTACGAATAATGATGCCCCATGCAGCCCACAAAGCGTATCTAAACCACACCAAATCTGAGGTATAGAATCAGTCGCACCATTTGCAAAATTATTGTCTCCCGCAGAGCAGGCATTCTATTATGACACTGCCAACATCAAACAGATCCAAAATGTTTAGCAGCTCAAAAAATGCTTGCATGGCTGTGGATGAAATGGTCCATTAATTCTCACAATTCAATCAGTGCCTTTCCTAGGCATTGACAGGACCATGGCTCAGTCTGCAGGTCCCGAGTCTGCTCAGCAGCCTCTGAAACCTCAGAGCAGAGGTAGGGGGAGGAACCAGATGCTGACTCCATAACACCCACTTTACCTCAACTGCCTAGGTATTTCTGCTCAAGGGGTTTGAAATTGATTTCATCTACTATGTTGGTTCCACGTGTTGCCTTTTTTTTTTTTGGCTGAATGTATGAAAAACATGGTAGTTTATAAAGTAAGATAATACAATTTGGCCTTTCCATCATCTTTTCCCAAATTGCTTATTGACCAAAAAAGATTTCCAGTAGCCCAGAGAAGGCATTTAAAGCTGAAGTAGGAAAGGAGGGGGAAAAGAAAACATGGCTAATGGATGAGCATCTTTAAGTTGGAAATGTACTTGAAAGTATACAAACAAACACATTTACTGAAACAAAGGAGATTACAAAAACTGGAGCTAACGCTGATTTTCTGCCAGATCCTCTGCCTTCTGTTTCTTCCAGGTGAGCGTCTCCTTCTTTATCATCAGCTTAAGAAGAGGAAAGACGCCATTTCTTTGGAAAGCACCATCATTTCCCGGAAGCCCCATTTCCTGGCAGCAACGAGAAGCACAGGCCTTACCTCTCAGCTCGCCCATATCCAGAGTTGTTCCGAGCTGTTCTAACAAAGCCACTCTGGCCGCATTCTTTTTGTGTTTCTTGCCATCATAATGCTGCTGGGCCATCAGAGGGTTATTGAACCAGGCTGCACAGAGCCCGCAGTATCTGTCGGAGTCTCTCCTTTGATATGGAGATGCGACCACCGGAGCCGTGTCCACCCGTGGGGGCTTCAGTGCACTCAGGGGCGTTGCTAGGAGAGAAAAACAAGCAGACAACAACAGGGCATGTTAGTCCACCAGTGAGCCCACCTTTCCTGCGGACCTGCAGAGTAAAGAGCCTCTTGTCAGCCTACAGTAAGCAAATCCATGCGTTTATTGGGGCAGCTTTTTCTGACTTCACTTTTTTTTTCCACTTGGGATGAGACAAAAATTTTTCGATTCATTGAGATCAGAGTTTGCATATTGTTATGCTGAAATATGGCAGCTCAAGAATCTGTCCCATAGAGGAAATATAAGATGTTTTCAAACAGATACTTCTGGAGGTAGAGCAAGAATCTGTTAGTCAGAAATGAAGCCAATGGTTGGAGTAAACATTGCACAATCACGACTCAAAGGATTCTGAGAGAATGAATTGGACATTTGTGTGCTATAAAAGGAAATAACCAATACATAAAGGATTTTTCTAAGGAACAGAAACAAATCTTTCAGTGACATGGAGTGCTCCAATTGAGGAAATCATGCTAATTTATTGTCAGTTACTCCTGCTTTTCTCTGATAGGTTATTTCCAATCTCTGTTGTTACAATTGATGTTGCAAGTGTATTAAAAAAAAAAAAGATTAAAAGACAATCACTGTAGAAAAATGTGGCTAACTAAGCCAGAAAGGTTGATATCAGTATTTTGAGGCTGCACGCTAACGTGCCATGTTCCATATTTACCATGTTTCATATTTTTGGTCGAGAAGAAAATGACGCCTATAACCAAAGGGAGTTCCCACTGAAAAGGATGATAATTTTTTATGTGTTACAATACGTTCCTTGTACTTTTACAATGATCATGACTTATACTGTCCCATTTCTCAGATTAAGGCGACATTTAAAACCAAATCGTTCATTTTCAAGGCAGAGTTCTGCCTTCAGGACTCTGCACACTTCTTCATGAACAAGGAGATCCTCTCTCTAGACCCATCGTCTTTGGGCTTTATTCAGTTCATTTAACTTGATGAAAGCATTCTCACGCACATATCGTTGAGAAGAAAACCATCACTTCTGGGGCTAAGGTCAAGTGTGGAGAAGAAAACCCTCTGTATGTGCTGGCATGGCCCACAGGGTACCACACAATAGAGCCGCACCTGCTGTGTGCCTCTGTCTCTGGGAGGTGAGGTGCAGGTGACAACACTAGGACAATCACTAATCCTGCCTTAAGAAAAGCTGGCACGGCAGGGGTGGGGCGGTCAACAGCAAGATCAAGAATGAACTGATTAACCTCAAAGCTTTCAGTTGACTTTCAGGCTTAGAGTAAATAACTGATAGAGAAATGGACACCTACCACATGGTGTTCTAATTCTAGACATGCCTGCATCATGGCATGTTTGCCCCCTCCCATTCAGAGACCCCCCCATCAGATCAAGGCATTTTCATTATCATAAATTAAACTGAATGGTGCCATTTCCGTAGGTTCTCAGATAAACAATATGTCTCTTCAAAGCTTCATCTCTGGATGCAGCCACATATCACCACACAGAAATAAAGCTCAAATGTGGGTCGTTCCTGCCAGCCGCCAGCAAGCATCATTCTGCTCTGACTTAGAAATGGTAATAAAAGCTACAAATATGCAGTTGACCCTCATGTGAAAGAACTGGCATCCTTTCTTCTCAAGGAAATTGGATCTTGCTTCTAAAGTTTCCTGCATCCTTATCAACTCCTGAGGATTTATGACCACCTATTATTTTTGATGGTAATGGAAAACATATCAACCGTTCACAATTTGAAGGAATGTGAAGTCCGGAAGCACAATTTATTTTCCTCCGAACTTGGCCTTAAAAAAATATTCAGAGTTGATTTTATCTATTGATACCTGATACAGCACATCCTCTCAACAGCAATGCACAATAGGCTGTTCATCAAATGACATGACCTTATCTTGCACATCGCACAGTAGGGTGCTGCCACGAGTGTACTACAGCTCCTGCCCTGGCCCAATTCTACTGCCTCTGTACTATTACTGTAGTGTTGAATTTCCAAAGTCTGAAAGCTCAGTGTTCCCTTTGCTTCTCTTTCGAACTGCCTTCACCCTTCTCCACCCAGTTTATGATCTCCGAATGCCTGTAAAGACCAACCAAGCTAGGAGCACAACAGCCATGAGTCAAGGTTGGACAGTTAGGTGCGAATGGACTGTAGCTTGGCGAAGCTGTGTGATCTTCAGAAAATCCCCGTCTCTGCTTTCCATGAGAACAAAATTCACGCTCACTTTGACTTTTCACACCACTACTCTGCGATGCACCCATAAACTGGGAATGGAACAAAGAGTAGAGGCCCCTTTGCTTTCGTGGCTTTGACTAAGTTCTAAGGATGGAAACTCCACAGGGGGAGAACAGTCTCCAGGCTTTAGCAACACATCCACACAGACATGGACTGCAGCCTGCATGCTCTTGGGAAAAAATTCATTATTCTAATAAAATAAATGGAAGCAGGTATGAAGATATGATCTGGTTTAAAAATTCTTTCAATAAAAGACTTCTGTGGAGAGGTAATTTTTATTTTAATTTCAAAATAGCTTTTCATTTTAATTAAAAAAATGCAGTTAATATTGACTTCACCTGTCGTATAATAGGAACTTGAGAATTAACTCATCAGAACCATTGGCTTCAAACATTAAACTCACAATACTTCAAAAATACCTACGCCAAGGCATAGCACAGAGCAATCATATTGGGATCTTGGGGGATGGGAGCCAAAAGCCAGCATACTTGAACTCCCTCCCTTGCCTCACTCATCCTGATCCGTGCTTCAGGAGCACAGCTGAGGCTGGCAATTATGGTGAGCATTTCCTTGAAACATTTTTTTATAAACTAAAACTTTCTTAAATCTTCACATCGAAGAAAGCCATACATTCCATCCCATAGCCACAGTGCTCATTTTTCTAAAGTTAGTGGGTCAAATGTCATATCCTAACTCCCATTTTACAAAAAAAATAAATAAATAAAAGATTTTCCAAAACAACAGCTGAATTATTCATCAATTACATAGGCCACGTTATGGAGCATCTGGCCAACTGCTGTGCTGCAGCCCTTGCCTAGCTGGGCTCTCAGACTGAAGTTCTGCCTGACAGTACCACAGCTCTCACAGCTACACACCTGCCGTACAGAGGCTTCTCACGCCCACCTGCTCTCTGGGGTCTTGAAAGCTTGTGGATGAAGCCCTTTCCCATCCTGTAAACTTATTAAGGCACTTACAGATTACACGATGCATTTGGAATTTCTTAGAAATAGTCTTGCCATCTTAGATGTATGAATGTGTATTTGTGAGTGCCTAAGGGAAATTACATCAAAGATTCTACTAAATACTGTTGTTCAGCTGTCTATAATCACTTATATCAGTTCAGAAATGTTTCTAAGTTTGATTTATTGGAACGGTGGAATGGCACAGAGAGAGACAGACAAAGAGATCTCATCCATTGATCGTCTTCCTTAAACACCCACAACAGCTAGGCTGGGCCAAGCATCAGCCAGGAGCCAGGACCTCCATCCAGGCCTCTCAAGCCCCTGGGTGGTGGTCTGCTGCCTTGGAAACACACAAGCAGGAAGTCGAAGTGATTCCATGCACTCTTATAGGGATGTGAGCACCCCAAAGGGCAGCTTAACTTTCTGTACCACAGTGCTCACTCCAGGGAAGAAAAACAACCACCAATTTTTAAAGCCCTTTACTTGTTACCAAAAGATCTGAAATCATATTGGCTCTTTATCATGTGTATATCATATGCAGATATACATATTATTGTACAGTTACTAACATCGTTGAGCAGGGGGTACTGTCCTTGATCAGGATAAACATAGTACGTGGTGTCCCACAGGTGCTTTTTGCATTTTCCAAATCCCAAAGTCTCATTTCCAAAACACAAGCCTGAATGAAAGATCATGATTCTTCAACCAAATTCAGAAACATAAAACTGGCACACTGACTGTTCCGACGCTTGAATCAGTGCAAACAAGCCAGTCTTGTCAACTAAGAATCTCTCAAACCCGGAATGAATTTCACTATCCCTTTTAGGGTCTTGATGAAGTTTGTCAAGGAGAAAGTTCTCGATAGTATTTCAAAACTGTTGGGAAGGTTGTCCTGAAGGAATATGCGTCTCTATCCAATATTTGTTTCTCCCTAGCAAAATAAGCACAGATGTAAGGACAACTAATTCCAGAACATTCTGTGGGTCTTGCTATTATACTGTTTCACCACTACCTAAGGCCACGCTGTTGTCCAAAGCCAGACTCTCCCCAGGGCCAAACTTGGGTGTGATGAAAGACAATGAGGGGGTTCTGAAGGAATGAATGAATGACCGAGCGAATGAATACATGAAGATTCTTCACATGATGAGAGGATGGAACCCAAGAGCTTTCTTGTTTCTTCTAGAACCGTGTCTCATAGACAGTGTGTCCTTGACTACAAAAGCAAGTCACGAGATGCTGGTGGGGGACAGGCTAGATTGTGGCATGTTAGCATGTCTGAGTGTAGACCACCTACCAATCTGGGAAACAAATGGAAAGTCAGCATTCATATGAACTTTCATTTTCTGGGGTAGTATACCTCAGTGAGACCCATGGAGCACACGCAATTAACATCCTTCCAGAAACAGAAATCCACATACTCTGTCTGACTGCTCATGGCCGCCAAACACTCACCCTGGCATGGTGCCCACCCCATCATGTGATGGAGAAGGTTTCCCAGTATGTGTCAATTTCAGGGCTGAAACAGGGCAGTCCTGCAGCTGGACCCATAATGTTCCCATACTGGTGCAGTTTGAATTCCGGCTGTTCCATTTCCAATCCAGCTCTCTGCTTGTACGCCCACGCTCTGGCTGTTGTAGCCTTCTGAGCAGTGAACCAGCGGAATGAAGACCTCTCTCACCACCCCTCTCTCCCTCTCTCTGTAACTTTGTCTTTCAAATACAAACATAGATACATCTTTAAAAAAAAAAAAAAGGACAAAAACAGGAAGCCTCCTTGGAAAACTGGAAGGAGATGGTTGTCCCAGTCTCTA